CAATAAAAAATATTTTGCGCATCAATCTAATAATTTTTTGAATATATATTCTCTAGCACAAGACTCAGAGTGGAACCCGTTTATCTACTAAAACTCAAACTCAAGAATATATTCAAACTATAGTTGTCTACCGCTTTCCTAATGCTATTCTTGAGATTACAATTGAGATATATTTTTATATTAATATTTTTTTACTTGCATATGCAAGAAAGTATAGATGTGAAATAAAAATGAATCAGATATTTATTATACTATACTTATTACAAACTGCTATAAGATATTGAAATTGCTGTAAATTGATAAAATCAGTGAAATTGCTACGTATATGTATTATCACCATACCTGCAAAATGGTTAAAACTAACTACTATAATGGTTTGAATCCTGCTGTATCATAGGCATTAATCAATCTGCAATATAGGTATAAAAATGAAACGCCTGAAATGTGATATTCTCGTATTCGTTATCCATTTAGGACACTTCTAAAAAATAATCTAAAATACTTCTCCAAGAATGGATTTATCCATATGACTGAAAGATCTAGAGATAGGGGATTTATGGTTGAGAAGCGTTCATTTTATATTTATTGTACTGTATGCGACACTTTGGTATTTATTCACGAAAATACTATCGAATATGCTAGTAATCACCTGAAGAAATGCATTACCGAAAAATACCTTGCATATTCTAAACCTGTATGGAAAAACGAAGGAGTGCCAAGCCGAAAGAGTGTATCATTGCTTAGTTCCGATGAGATTGAAAAAATTTATCAAACTTATTGGGTTATGTACAGTAAAGGTTTAGCTCATTATAGTTATGATTATTCATATGAGGGTAGGAAAAGGATTGTAAATCGTCTAATTAATAATGCAAAAGTTATCCAACAGGCTTGGAGAGCTTTCCAGTTGAGACCCGAAACATGGGCGAAACGAGTTTGGAATATGGTGGGGAATGATGGCACTCCCAATGAGAAGAAGTTTTTAGGTATAACTCCTCGTGATATAAGAATTCCCGATGATCGATATGTATGGTATATAGATCGAAAAATTCTAGCTAAAGATGTACCTGCATATCATCAGAATGGTCTATATGATCATTATACTCCATACAAGTGGGCAGAAAAGAAGAAAGATCAGTTACGTGAACGATTAGGTCTTGTATCATATATATTTGCCTTCATAGTATTACATCTGCAAGGCTATAGAATCGTTGAATATTCAGGATGGACTTATATGTTAAAGTGGTTATCGAATCCTGAATATTACTGTATTGATGAATCTGGTAATGAAAGAATTATTAGAAGTTTAGAATATTCGCGATACATGTGTAAAACACATGGCAAACCATATCCATGTGAATCGCCAAAAATCAACTATTTCGAAACTAAATATATTTATATTCTGGGAAAAGAAATTAACATAGATTTCTCAGATTCAAACAATAATTGTGAGTATGTGCGCTGAATTTTCCGGACCATGGATTCGATATCAAAATAGATATTATGTATTTATTATAATAATTTATTTTTTGTAGAAGCGCAATAACATATATTAATAACTAAACTCTATTCATCTAATGCTAATGGCGCGTCCCATCCTAGTCTAATTACTAAAGGGTTGTCTACTGGTTTGGTAAAATCGAAGACTACAAATTCTCATTCTCTTAAATGTTTATCGATAATTTTGGATGCTTTTTTTGGATTATCCGTATATTGATGTACAACTCTGCTAATGTCATCTCTAGATCCCGAGCCCCGAAATAAAGCTAAGTGTGAAATATTCTCACGAATAATTTTAGGGGTTTGTGTATACTTCTGGCTCACATATATGCTTGATACACCTTGATGCCGGCCACTAATAAAATATGGAACAATCCGATCCTGAATTTTCTTTGATTCAGCACAAAGATCCTCGAAGATTACAACCGTATTTCTATCTGGAGAAAATTTAGTTACATCTGGAATTGCATCTGCTTTTAATGCACGAAATATCACGTTTTCCCTATCTGGGCCCTTTGAAAAAATTTTATAACAGTTTTTCACTAATATCCATTTGGGCTCATGAATATGCTTTCTGATTAAGACTAGATCATCATTTTTAACATACCGTTCCCCTTTCTTTTCTTTAAACAAACATTGGATTTTATTTCCAAGAAGAAGATTAAGAATCATATTAGTTTTTCTACTATCTGATCCACCACAAATTAACAAACGAAAAGGAAACGCAGGACTGGCAGGGTGATTCATATTCTTTGAATTTTTGGTCTCATTAAGATGGTATATATAATACTCCATTTTTCTCATCTTGAATAAAATTACTATATCGAAAAAATAAGGATTTTAATAAAATACATACATTTAAAGTTTCATATTTATTTTACTGACTGGGGAATTAGTCAAGAAGCCTTTCTCGATTAGCGTATGCCTGATATAGGGAAAGAGATCGGCAGTATGAGGCACTGAGATAAGACATATACCTTCTTTTTTACATATATCTTGCTTTTTTTGATCTCGGGATTTCTGTTCATCCAAATCTATTTCTCCTCTTCTATGAAACATCAAATTTAAACTATAGTGTTGGGGTCCCTGGAATTCAAACGCTAGACGCAATTTCTCGTTATACCCATCGAGATGCATCCCATCCAAAAATTTAGGCCTACATGGTGGGAATTTCTTACCTAAAAGATTCTCAAAAATATGTCGGCATTGACGTTCGCTAGTATGGTGGCATAAGGGACACCACTCAAATTTTTTTATGATATATTTTAACGGATACTCCCATTGATGCGCACCATTCTCACAAGACCAGAGATAGATACCGTGCCCATGTATCTGGCCAGTTTTTTCCAAGGCATTGGCCACCACGCTTCTCTGCGTAAACCTGGGCTTGAGTTATCTCGTTATTGGTGGGGGGGAAGCATATGCAATATGTACGGATAATATTTTTTGAGGGGGGTACTCAACCTTTTCTGGATCAGCTATTAACATGAGTTCCTCTCTTATGAATCCTCGCTTTGGTGAAAACTCATCACCTTTGAGATAATATAAGACAGGCTCATTTTTAGAAACCACAATTTTTCGGATCTTATGAATAGAAGGCGAAAATGTGGGGTCAGTGCTTCTGCGAACTGCTTCCATACCACCTTCCCATTCAGCATTAGCAAGAAGGTAGCGAACTGAATCATCTTTATTTAACATTACTTCACCCTTTCCAATGGCTCGCTTTTTGGGAACCGATGGTCTGGACTCAACCTTCTCCAATAAAATAGCCTCTGAAGGTGCTAACCCCCATTTCAAAGAACCCGGTTCTCTGATAAGGCGTGTGGGATAACTGTTTAGATAATCAACAACTTTTGGTAAATGTCTAACCCATGCTCTTATTAATCTTGGTTCAGAAGATATAGACTCAACAGCATACTGAATCTTATAGAGCATCTTCCCTTCTGTCTTATTAAAACGTTCCACCATTGCAAGACCTCTATGGCTATAGGGCCCTATTATTTGAATTGTGACACCATGTTCTTGCATCAACCGGGACATTTCAGATATCCATTCTCTTCCATTATCCGTTTGAAGTAACTTAGGATAGGTAAGAGGATTATCGGAATCATCATATACTTTCCTAAACGCTTTAGTAACTTCTGAACTTTTTTTTGAAGTAAGCGGGACTGATGCTTTATATCGGGAAGCGCAGTCTATTATATTAAGCACTGCCTTATATATTTTTCTCTTATATTTATCATGTGTGAGAAATAATATATCGGCTTGATGCACACAATTTGGTTGTGTTATTTTCCCATAACTGACTCTAGGAATATGTCTAGGTGGGGACATATAGATTTGGTACGATTGCTGGTGTTCCAGCCAATTTTTTACATCTTTTAAGTTGAATCGATGATCCTCTTTTTTACATGCATCTCTTAAGAATTTAGGATTGGAATAATACCCAGTCGGGCGATAATATATATTACGCAATATGAGATTTTTTTCGATTCTCTGGGCCTCATCTGGATCGATATAGATAACTGGTTTTCCCATTACTTTATTTGACAATAGTAAATAAAAAATATGGAGGAATTACAACAGAGTAATCAAGAACTCCACGAGGTAGTATCCCAATTAGCAGAATCAAATAGAAATTTCGAACAAAGATTATATACCTTAGAAAGAGTTATTGGTATATGGGAAGAAAGAATTCGATTTCTTGAAGAAAAGTTAGATAACGCTATTGAACTTTCTAAACAAGACAAAGAAGAATTAATAGAAGAAATTTCAAAATTAAAACGAATTGTCCGACAGCTTGAAGAGGAAAATAAAAAGAAAGACAAAGAAATTTCCAATAGAGATAGATTGATATCAGAATTCGATGAGCGTGAGACAAAATTAAAAAACCGAATACGGGAGATATCAAAATCTGCGGGTAATACCCCCAAAGCACAAGATTATACAACCAGATTAGTGGACGAGAATAAACGGCTTAAACGAGAAATAAATACGGTAAGAACTAATCAAATAAATAGGATTAACAAAATAACCCAACAAAAAAACTGTATTACAGACCTGCTTTGTCAAAATTTTGCATTAGCATTATTAAGATATCGAGATAGATTAGAACTTAGAAATACACAAGAGGCTTTACAAAATGCACAGGCATGGAATTTTGGCGAAAATGAATCCGATTCTGATGAAAATTCTCTAGACTTGTATAATTCTGATGATAATATGGCCACAATAGCCGAGTTGGCTGATGCAATAGACCGATCCCTAAATGATACAACAATATGTAGAACCGTTTTAACAAATCAAATTAAAAGATCAACAAGATCAATCCGACGTAAATACACTAACCTGCAACAAGAACTGGTGAAT